GTGGGGGGGGGGGGGGAGAAGGTTTGAAGTGACTTCGTGTTACGAATTGAGTAGCAAATTTTGGCTAAGGGAGGAAAGGGAGGGGAAATATCGCAAACTTGGGAAAAAGAATGGGGTTTTGGGGCTGAGCATTTGGGGTTAAGAGGGGTGTGGATCGGGTATTGGACTAGAAAATGGGTAAAACCCATTTTTTTTTAATGAAAAACGCAAAAAACTTACCTAAGTGCGTGATGCAGAGAGGGCATGGAGTGTTCTGCCTCGCGAAATTAATTAAATTTCACGAAGACAAAATTTTAACACCCCTCTGCGATGCGGTCATGTTACGATGACCCCTTTTTCTTGACGTAAACGTTAATCCTCGTCGAATCCAAATTTTGTGGCCCACTCTGCAACGCGGGATGGTCACGAACCGTTCTGCCTTGGCTTGGAAAATTAATTCCAAGTTAGGCAAAAGTTAGCTGCCACTCCGCGATGCGCCATGGGTCTTAAATCCTGGTTCCTGCACATTTTAAGCTCCAAAACCCATTAGTACAAAGCATGATGAGTTGCCTCCCATCTAACGTCTTAGTTTTGGTCGTGGCACGACTCATATTTTTGTATTTTTCTAGATATATCATTTTTTTTACTAATTCCTAAGAATTAAAATAACAAAACAAAAGAATAGAAATCCTAGCTATTACATGGGGTCACGGGTTGCCTCCCGTGCAACACCTGATTTAACGTCGCAGCATGACCCATCTCATGACTCATTCTTCATTCAATGTGAGCACTTCAAGCTCACAATTAACATCATTTCTGAAGTAGTACTTCACTCGCTGCCAATTTACAAGGAAAGTAGAGCTCTTATCCTTGTTTCTTAGCTCTACAGCTCTATGTTTAGTCATTCTCACTACTTCAAACAGTCCACTCCACTTAGATCGAAGTTTTCCGGGGAACAACTTCAATCTTGAATTAAACAGCAGCACCAATTGACCATGCTCAAAGGTGTGTGACACAATATGCTTGTTATGCCACCTCTTGGTCTTCTTTTGTAAAGCTTAGCATTCTCATAGGCGTGGAGCCTGAATTCTTCTAACTCATGCAGCTGCGTTATACTTTTCTTTCCAGCTAACTCAACATCCAGATTTAACTTTTTGATCTCTCAAAATGCTTTATGCTCCAATTCAGATGGGAGGTGACATGTTTTTCCAAACACCATTCGATAAGGAGAAGTCCTTATCGGCATCTTGTATGCAATTCGGTATGCCTACAAAGCATCATCTAACTTGTCAGCCCAATTTTTCCTTTGGGAATTTACAGTCTTTTGGATGATCTGCTTCACTTCTCTATTAGACACTTCCACCTGCCCACTAATCTTAGGATGATAAGTTGTAGCTACCTTGTGTCTCACCCCATATTTGGCCAACAAATTTTGCACCGAACTATTGATAAAGTGCATACCTCCATCACTGATCATGGCCCTTGGAGTTCTGAACCTGGTGAAGATGCGCTTTCGGATGAATTTCACTACCACATTTGCATAATTGAATGGTAATGCAACTGTCTCACCCACTTGGACACGTAGTCCACTGCCACTAATATGTATTGATTTCCACAGGACGATAGGAATGGTCTCATGAAGTCTATCCCCTAGACATCAAAGATCTCAACTTCAAGTATGTTGCTTAATGGAATCTCATGCCTTCTAGAAATGGTGCACATCCTTTGGCACTGATCACAACCCTTCACAAACATAACATCTTTAAATAGAGTAGACCAAAAGAACCCAGATTGCAATACCTTATGTGCAGTGTGTTCACCCCCGCGATGTCCACCATGTGGTGAAGAGTGACAACTCTCCAACTCTTGTATTGCCTCATGTTAAGCTACACACCTTCGCACCATCTGATTAGGTCCCTGCTTGAATAAGAAGGGTGCATCCCATATATAGAAGTGTGCATCATACTCCAGTCTCTACTTTTGATGTGTTGATACCCCAGGTGGAAATAAACCACTCACTAGAAAATTTACAATGTTAACATACCAAGGCACTTGAGCAAGGTCCAACGAAAGCAATTGCTCATCAGGAAACTCTTCACGAATCTGCCCTTCATTGTTCACATGAGATGAGTCCTCCAATCTGGATAGATGATCAGCTATCTGGTTTTCAGTTCCCTTCCTATCTTTAATCTCCAAAAGAAACTCTTGTAAGAGCAATATCCACCTAATCAGCCTCGACTTGGCATTCTTTTTGTTAAAAAAAATACCTGATTGCAGCAGGATCTGTGTAAACTACAACCTTGGTTCCTACCAAGTATGACCTGAACTTATTAGATGCAAACACTAATGCCAACATCTCTTTCTTAGTGACAATATAATTTGATTGGGCTGCATCAAGTGTCTTGCTAGCATAGTAAATGGACTGAAATACCTTATCTTTTCGTTGCCCAAGCACTGCCCCAACCGTTGTATCACTGGCATCACACATAAGCTTGAATAGAAGCTCCCAGTTAGGAGCAATCAGAATAGGAGCTTCTATCAACTTCTTCTTCAACAACTCAAATGCCTGCAAACACTTCTCATCAAATTCAAACTTCACCTCTTTTTCTAACAGGTTGCACATGGGTCTTGCAGTCTTAGAAAAGTCCTTGATGAATCTTCTGTAGAACCCAACATGCCCCAGAAAGCTTCTAATTTGACTTCCTTCACTGTGATGAGTGGTGGCAACTTCTCAATAACCTCCACTTTGTCTTTGTCAACTTCCAGCCTATTCTTGGAGATTTTGTTCCCCAACACAATCCCCTCTCGAACTAAGAAGTGACACTTCTCCCAGTTCAACACAAGATTTGTTTCTTCACACCTGGCAAGGGCCCTGTGAAGATTAGACAAACAAAGGTCAAAAGACTTACCAAACACCGAGAAGTCGTCCATGAACACCTCAATAAAATCCTCCACCATATCATGGAAGATTGCCATCCTGCATCTCTAAAATGTCACTGGTGCATTCCATAACCCGAATGGAATGCGTTTGAACACATAAGTGCCATATGGATAAGTGAAGGTAGTCTTCTCCTGGTCCTCTGATGCAATAGATATCTGATTATAACCTGAGTAGCCATCCTGGAAGAAGTAGTATTCTTGTTGTTTACATCCCTATTCTATTCAAATAGGGCAAAACGTCGCGGTGACTCAAAAAATAATCAATTGACTTAATTTTAAAAGAATTTAAAGAATAAACAAATTTTAAGAAGTGTCGCCACCTAATTTTAGAAAAAACTAGGAAACTAATTAAGTAATCTACGAAACCAAGAGATTCTAGGTAAGGGGTTCAAGTTATTTCGAAGGGAAGGGGTTAGGCATCCTTCGAAATCCATAAATGTGGGTACCGACAGAATTAATTTTTTTCAAATTGAGGAGGAGAATAAAATAATGTACAAATATATTAAACATGCAATATACACAAGTAATATGATAAAACAATAATATAGGAATCGTCCTAAATTTACCTATCGTCAATAATATACAATATAAATAAGAGTATAATTTGAACCTAATTCGAATAGCTTTAATGGGAAGCGCCTCCGGGTACTTGTAAAGACACTTAGTAAAAGTATTAGTAATAAATAAATATTAATAAAAATAAATAAATCTAATATTAATTTAAAAATAAAAAACCCGTCTTATTAACATGGGAGGCCTTGGAAATCGACGGTAATTTCTTCATCGGCCAATTTTAACAAACAAAATATATGAACTTAAACTAAATTTCCGTCTTTTAATATTAGGAAGGCCTCCAAAACCGACGGAGAGATTTTCTCATTGGCCAATTATAACTAATTATTCAAAACAAAGTACCATATAAAACCAATAATAAATAATATAGGATAATAGCAGCATGACAATCATATAAAGCTAACGAGAACAATATAAGGTAATTAGCAATATTTAAATAATAATTAACACAACAAAATGAGTAGTGAAATAGAATAAAATAACCAAATGATTATCACTAGCAACATACTGGTACCGACAAAACAATATAGAAAAATAAATAAAATTCAAATACTGCCTAACTTAGTCAACATGACGGCAACATAATAAATAAAATACATTTGAATAACAATAAATAAAGTCAAATTATAATTAAATGCAGCCAAATAAAGCTAAACATTATAGATATACATGGAAAGGAAAAATATTAACAAATAATTTGAAGGATAGCAACACCCACTCTCACCGGCAGTGACAAATAAATCAGAGGAAGAAACGGACAAGATGAACTTCAATAGAAAAAAAAAAAAGCAATAGTGACTAGAGAGTATGAACATTGAATTAACAGTAGCAAAATAGAGCAAATCTCTGAAAAAAGGAACTCAAATATGTACCCATTCACAAATAATAATAAATTGAATAAACAACATAAATAAAGCAAATGTATAATAATAATAATAATAATAATAAATCAACAAGGCAAAGAAAAGAATGAACCATCCAATTTCCATAGTTAACTAAATAAATAAGGTAGTGACAATGGTCTGTTAACTAAACAAATAAATTACCATTTTATGAAATTAAATAAGTAATAATAACAAAAATAGAGATAACATATTGTGCCCTTCAATATTTATTAATTTTAACCCCCATTCACTAATAATTATACTAGTACTGTATTTATATCTCTTCCTAGAAAATGAAAGAAAACAAGTTAAACTAAACAACAAAAAGCTTTAAACAATTTCAGTAATGAAAGAAAAACAACCATTAACGTACTTAAATCAATATAACAAATAGTAGTTTAAAAAGAGAAATAAACTGGAGCAAACAATTCGAAAAATTATGATAATGAAAAAATAAGAATAACAGTGGTCAAAAATAAGAAAATCAACCAATATTCACAAACAATAACTAAAAAGACATAACAAACAATAAAAATGGAGTTACCCGTCTCGGAGTTTGACGATTTCTGATCAGATCTTATACTAGCCCATCGTGAGAGAGATGGGCGAGCAGCCGTGGTGGTGTCGCTTCCGTTTCTGGGTTGTTGGGTCGGGGATTTGATGTTGTTTGGATACCGAAGCTGCTGGTCTGGTGTTGCTCTGTTCTACGTCGGAGATGTCGAGAGTGAGAAATAGAGGTCGGAGATCATTCGAACGACAATAGGTTACCTGCAAGACAAGAAAGAATTGTAAAGGGAAAAGGGGATAGGGGCTGGCAGCGATGGGAAGTTGTCTGGTTTAGCTCGCTGGTCGGAGCTATGAGTTTGTTGGAGAAAAACTCTATTTTCGGCCAAATTGATGGTCTATTAATTGGGGTTTTATGTGGTGGCGGCTAAGAGAATATGAGAGTAAAAAATCTTAGGATTTTTACCCTATCTTGAAAAATATTTCCACCACCCTCTATTTTTTAACCTAACCAAAACTTATATAGGAAATAATTGTTAAATGGGCTCAATTTGTGGACTTGGAATTGTGGCCCAAAATTATCGATCAAATAAAATATCTGTATTTGAATGAATTTCTAGATTGTGCAAAATATCAGAATGAATATTAATAAATTTAACAAATAAAATGAATATTAAAAAAATATAATGAACGTAACTAATGACATGTAAAAATGCAATTTTAAAATTAATTGATAGAAAATCCTAAATAAGGATAATTATCGATGAACTTATTAAAAAAATTGTTTGAACTATTAAATAAATAAAACTTAAAAGTTACGAATTTTGAAAATGTTAGGCCAAAATTGGGTGTCAATAGTTGTCCCTTTCGTTGGATATGATTGATGAAAGAAATCATGGATAACGAAAATTGACAAACCCGATTTTGGCCGTACACATGACCTTTATATAAAAAGTGCGGTTGGAATGTAGTGGAAGTCGATCCCAGACTTGCTTCCAAAAGGTTTCACGCTATGTTGCCTCCTTGTTGAAGTAATCCGAACCTGTGGCTCAATTGAGAATGCATCCTCTTGGATGTTCTTGGAAAACAAAGATAAAACTCATTATTAGGGACAAAATTAAAGAAAGAGGTAGCATCTCTTATGATATGACAAATGAAGATGATTCATTGGTAGGATAAAAATTGTATATCCATCGGTAAGACGAATGAAGATGATCCATCGGTAGGATTTTGAATGTATGTCCATTGGTAAGACGAATGAAAAAGATGATCCATCGATAGAATATGAAGATGATCCATAGGTAGGATATGAAAATGATGATCCATTGGTAGAATTTTGAATGTATGTCCATCGGTAGGATGAATGAAAAAAGATTATCCATCGATAGAATTTTTAATGTATGTCCATCGGTAGGACAAATGAAAAAAGATGATCTATCGGTAAGATTTTGAATATATGTCCATCGGTAGGACGAATGAAAAAAGATGATCCAACGTTAGAATATGAAGATGATCCATGGGATATGAAAATAATGATCCATCAGTAGGATTTTGAATGTATGTCCATCAGTAGGACGAATGAAAAAAGATGATCTATCGGTAAGATTTTGAATATATGTCCATCGGTAGGACGAATGAAAAAAGATGATCCAACGTTAGAATATGAAGATGATCCATGGGATATGAAAATAATGATCCATCAGTAGGATTTTGAATGTATGTCCATCAGTAGGACGAATGAAAAAAGATGATCCATTAGTAGGATTTTGAATGTACGTCCATCGGTAGGATGAATGAAAATGATGATCCATCGGTAGGATTTTTAATATATGTCCATCGATAGGACGAATGAAAAAAGATGATCTATCGGTAGGCTTTTGAATGTATGTCCATCGGTATGACGAATGAAAAAAGATGATCTATTAGTAGGATTTTGAATGTATGTCCATCGATAGGATAAATGGAAAAAGATGATCCATCGGTAGGATTTTGAATGTATGTCCATCGGTAAGACGAATGAAAAAAGATGATCCATCGGTAATATTTTGAATGTATGTCCATCGGTAGGACGAATGAAAAAAAGATGATCCATCGGTAGGATTTTGAATGTATGTTAATCGGTAGGACAAATAAAAAAAGATGATCTATCGGTAGGATTTTGAATGTATGTCCATCGGTAGGACGAATGAAAAAAAGATGATCCATCGGTAGGATTTTGAATGTATGTCCATCGGTATGATTTTGAATGTATGTCAATCAGTAGGATTTTCAATGAATGTCCATCGGTATGACGAATAAAAATTCTTTCAACGCAAGTCTCCTCCGA